GAACAGAAATTAAAGAAATTTGTGTTTGGTTGATTCTTTCTTTAAATGATGTCACATTTAAAGGGAAATACATTTATCAGTTGGGCAGCAGAGTTTAGTATGCGAGTTGTACCCATGAAAAACTTGCCAAATCTTCTCTCCCAATGCCAAACAGCTTGTTTTGCTATTGACTCTTGTTTGTTGTCATGTATTGGATTGAATCATTGAAGTCTGAAGAAACAATATACAGATATACTGGTAATTTAACAGTTTATTAATGTAACAAACTGGGGTCTCAGTAACATGTGGAAGAATCATACACATTCACAACAGCCTGGCATCTCCTCCTCATGCTGGTCACCACCTTGGTCACACACTGATAGGCGATGGCATCCCATTCTTGAACCAGCGTTTGTCGCAAGACAGCCAGTGTGGTTATGTTGGTCACTCTGGAATGAACAGCACGACCAAGCTGATCTCACAAGTGTTCAGTGGGGTTTAGTTCAGGACTGCAGGTAGGCCATTCTATCCTCTCAAGTCTCAAATTCTGGAAGTAGTGTCTGAGTTTTTTCCCCTCCCTGTGGAGATATGGGATTGGTTGCAGAATCTCAGCTCAATATCTGCCAGCACTGAGATTGCCTCCAGTGATGACAAGTCTTGTTTTTCCAGTGAGAGCTATGCTATCCCACACCATCATACTGCCTCCAACAAAGGCTATTACCCTATCAGTACAGCAATCAGCATAGTGTTCTCCGCGTCTTCTCCACACTTTGACCCTACACTCATATTGCTGTAGGCAAAATCAGGACTACTTTATGAACATAAAGTTACCCCACACATGCAGATTCCAGTGTGCATGGAGCACAATCAGTTCTGATGATAAAGGAAGTCATGGCAGGCCTCTTGGCAGTCATATGAAACCAGAGATTCGCTGTGTGCAGTCAATCTGGATTGTCTGTGTAGAGAGCCGTCAGCCATATCATGCTGCAAACCTTGACTTAGAAATCTGTAGAAGACTACCTACACTTTACAAGTGCTGGTAGGGTAAGCAAACAGTCTTTTGCTGGTGTCATCTTCTTGAGATGCCCACTTCGTAGCCTGTTTCTGATTTGCACCGTTATATGGAACTTGGCACTCCAACTTGGAGACTGTACTAGGCCTCACCCCAAATAAGTAGTGAAGTTGCTCTATGGCATGGGCACTATCCAGATCAATCAAACGTGTCATGCTTGGAGCAGACACCGACTGACCGCTGCAGCAGGGTCCATGCTCACAGGTGCAGCTAATCAGAATCCAATTGGGCACCTGATTATCAGCACCTGGTGTACCAGAAGCTCACAATAAGATTCAAGAACAGACTAAGCTGTTTGGCACTGGCAGAGAAGATCTGGCAAGTTTTTCATGGGTACAACTCACACACTAAACTCTGCTGCTCAACCCACAAATGTATTTTCCTTATAGATCTGACACCATTTAAGGGGACATAAAAGGGATTTCCAACTGTGTAAGATTTATTGCCAAGAAGCATTGTTGCAACAAAGAAATAATCGACCAAACACAAATGTCTTTACTGTACTATAATCAAGGTAGGGATATATCCAACTTCAATCTGTTTGAACTGAACACAGCCTTGAGTGCATGCCAGACTGACATCATTGAAGTGGCTGAGACTTTGCATGTTCAGCACACACTTATTTAGTGACACTTGGATGTCCATCTATTACATTCCTTCAAAGTCCTCACAATAAATAATTTTGATATAATGCACATGGCTGTTTTGTGTATTTTAGGTTAACCAGATAATGGACGAAAATATAAATTTAAGCATGGAGTTCTTCAATCAAATAGGAATATTATGTTTCTTATGAATCATTTTTAAATCCAATCGTCATTCTATTGTATATATTAATCGCCATCTGTGGGTGGACAGCAAAGAAAGAATTTCATTGCACAGAGAAATGCCTTTTTCTCTTGTGACACATGAATCTTGAATCTGTTCCTATATTATTCTTTAATCTAATCTATAATATAAAGTAATGAGGGTTTGAACAGTGTCTGGCTATACATCGAAAGTTTGTACAGGCAAGGTTCAACTCTTTACCCCTTGAAAGCTGACCAAGAGTCACCACTGCAGCTCTTTTCTCTGCGGTTTTTGTCATATTTCAGGCCTGCTTATTAAATAAAATGACTGGATGTGCATCAGTTAGCGAGGGTGGTCTGTGCCTCTTTAAACTATTCTAATGGTCATCAAAAAAGAGGTTTATTGATATATACTTGGGTGTCAAAATTAATATTTAAATGTTAGTAGCCAGTTCATCAAATGCATTCTTTATGTAGAAAGAGTCCAGGAATTTTAAACATCCACACAGCAGAGTAGTCAAGCTGGGCTGAACTTGCTCTGACATGCTCATGCTGGTATAGTAAAAACACAGTGTAGCCCAGCTTCCCAGTAGCTTCCACAAAAACAGTCATTAACCTTATCTTGGAGCAAGCAGCTGGCCTTTGACCTTCAAATACAATTCTGAACATCTATTCACATAATGCCGGTGGAAACTCAACCACGGACACATTCATATTCCTACTAATTCCTAGAACAACCTCTTGTTATTATATTCAGCTCTCCCTTTTCTTTGTTCTCGTACACCAGCAACGCGCCGTGCATGCAGACCATACAAAAGCAGCCCCACAGCCAGGTGTGTGACTCTGTGGGCATTAGCTCTACAAATCAGTGAGCCAGTTCCATGACATCACATCTCCTGTGGTGCCCCAACCATTTCCTGTTTCTCCTGTCCTTCATCTGCCAGCAGGTGATCCCAATCTGCTTCATTTGGATTGTGTTTTTTTTTCCTGTGCAGTATGTAAAGAACACATAACAATAAAACCAGCTCAATCTGAGCCAGTGTTTCCTTAGAGATGTAGTGGCACCGAGGGGTACCTAATCCATCTTTGTTTTTTTTTGACATGTTAGCATCCACTCATACAACATCCAAAGTCAAATTCTCTCGTTCTTATCACAAATCACAAGTTTAGGCCTTGACTCATAAGGTGTCATAGAAAGCAGAGTGTGGCTGGTTAACCTTATGACGCGATGCTCCTTTCCAGGCTGTCTCTCGCTTGTTCTTTTATTTTTTAAATCTTGTGTTTCTCTCCACCAAAGTATTTAATATGTGCCTTGGGGGAGGGTGGTAGCCAATATGTTTACCTTGGCTCTCGCAGCCACTGACACACAACAGCGTACTCATGGGTTTGTCATCATGTAGACACTCAAGAGGATTATACAAAGACAGAAACAAGCTAGGTTTATCAGCTTCAGCCCGACAAGAGAGCATGAGTACACACACACACTAAAAAACTAATCTTACAGCAAGAAAACACAAACACACACAAATTTGAGCTCTTTTCCTCTATCTCCCACTCCCCTTCAAGCTGCTTCAATTCACTGCACTTATATCTGAAGGAATTAGCTCCCTGCGTGCTGTCTTTCATGCTGTGTAAGGTACACAAAAATGCTTTTCTCTTCAAAGAGAAAGTTTCTTTACTTCCTAATTGATAATCCTGCTCTTGACATGTTGGTTTTCCAGGCTGGGTTTTGTTCCCAGGACAACAAAAGCATGCATGCGTTCTCTGATGCTCTTTTTCTGCTCTTGTTCCATATTGTATGGCTATGTCTATTTTAGTAGAAGCCCCTGCGGGTTGTTCCACAATCATGGAGGATAATTATTAAGGAGTCGTGCGCGTACAAACTTGTTTGTATCAATATTGTTTCTCAGGGCCTTAACTTTACCTCTATCTGTCGCGTTGCACCGAGACCCTTACCTAACAGAAAATTCCAACTTTTATATATTATAATTTAACCAAAATATCCAGGGGATTCTCTTTTCCCCGTCAAGAAATGTTGGTTCTCTTAACAGCAGAAATACTAGCACGCACAGAGTCACAGCGAGTTCTCCCCTTTGCGATAACTCCTACAAAACGCCTGTCATCCTTACTCAGTCATACACAAGCGGGGAGTCAGCGCAAGCCGATGGATCAATTTAGTAGAGAAAAGCTGTGGCATTCTTCAAATGTAATGGGCTTTGATGTCGACGCTGAGCTGCATTACAGAACCTCACTGAAGCCAGTGAAACCTCTTTTTATCTGTCTGTTTCCTATGCAGAGGACGTCGGCAGGAAATATACCTCACTTCTGCTGCACAGATGCTTTTTTCTCCCTTATTATTGTTCAAAGACATCTACATTCATCTTCTTGTATTAACGCCTCTGTATTGGAGAATCTCACGCTGACCCTATTTTCGTGGACGTGATCAGTTTGGGACTGAGATTATAATGAGAAAAATAAAATATAATAACAGTCTTGTGAAGCCTTCCTCGTTTATGAAGTGCCATGCCTTAGTCTTTAGCAGGTATAGACTGCCCCCTGGTGGAACCTTGATTCATTACATATATGTAGGCTATTGCAGGTTTAGAGTTTATGTAAAACAACAACAACAACAAAAACATGTATCAACATATTTTTGATTGCGCTGCTGCAGTCACTTCCTCCAATTTAACACATAAGGTCTGGGTTGGATTAAAAATAACCAACTTTGAATTATGCACCATTAATAAAAGAAATGCCTGAAGGTTGTGAGTCATCATAACCCCTGCAATTTCTTTAGAGCTGGTGTAGTTAATCTAGAAATAGCTTCCAATTGGACATTCACAGGGAATACCCATTCAACCTCTAATTTAAATTTCTATCCACAAGAGGAAATCATGGACTCCTTTCTCACTGCCGCAGCTGCAGCACTTCACAGTTCTCTCAGTAATTATAACAGTTTCCCTGCCAAAGTGTGTTATTATCAGTATGTGAGGCATGTTTCGCTCCCATCAATTCTTCCTATGTGTCAGTTTCTGTCATGCTGTGAATTGTAATAGACCCTGGCTCTCCCATTTGGCGTGAAATGTAGCCAGAAAAACTGGCAGCATGACATTCAAATCACTCAGACACAAAATTAAAGGAAGATTGTGAGAATTTTTTTTATTTATAACAACATTTAAAAAGTTCAATCTGGGAGGGAGGGGGTGGGGTGGGCAAGCAGGTAAGAAATATTCAGATCAAGATCATTCGCTGCTCTTGGCTTGGGGGGATTTAAAAGCAAATCCGTCATCTCGCTTTCGGCAGATTTGCATGCACCCATTGCTGACAGAGTGGTACTAAAACAGGCATGTCTTCAGTTCACACGCAGCCCACAGACCACTGACCGTCCAACCACAGCGGCCAACGTTTCCTGTAAGATCTGCAGCACATAGCAGGAACAAGTCGCCATGGTGCTTTTCACAGCCTTTTTATTTTTTCCTGAGCAGACAACTGTGCGGCTCATTCTCATGGGCAATCGCTGCCAAGAACAGGTCGCTGATTATGCCTCGTGTTCAGCATCGGAGACGGTGTGGATTCAGTGAAAACTGGTTTAACTGTGCTCGTGGGCATTTTCTGACAGTCTGGTAGCACCGATGTCAATGAACAGCTGCCAGGGTGTAAAGGGGGGGGCATGCATTAGCAGACGTTTGAACCTACACAATGAATGGACACCAGCTAAACACTAAGATGACAAAGAGTTAGACTGGGATGAGTTGTTCTGTAAAAAAAACAAAAGCATTGTGAATTGTAATCTCACAGCGGCGCAGGGTAAACTAACGTGACATAGCTGACTATGATCGACACAGATCATTATTCTATTCATGGAAATCTCTTCAAACAATAACACTGACAAACAGAAACATGCAAGAGGTGTGAGGGACTGTAGGTGAGCATCAGAAAACAAAGCCCCACCAAAATGATTTTACTGTGCAAAAGTATTTGTCTTAGAAATTGAGTCAGAGAGGTGAAAAAAAATCGCCTCTGTGGACATGGAATTAAATCCCTTTTCTGATTTGAGTTAGCTTTATTGTCTGGAAGCAGGAAACTGACTTTCGTGTTTTATTTTTGTAGCACATTCATTGTCATCTCTGATTCTACCCTCATCTTCAGATTACCTCAAATCTCTCAACCGTGCATGTGAAATTTTTCTTTTGAGCGTAAGCTATATCCAAGCGGTCTCTGTAGCGGGGTTTTGACTCGCTGTCATACAAACTGTATCTGTTAAGTGTGTTGCTGGTCTAATTCTTATTATTTAAAGTGATATGTTGGCCAAGAAATGTTAAAAAAAAAAAAGTGTTTGCTGCCCACCATACAAAAGGCATAAAAGGAATCAAGGCTAGCTTCAGCATCCATGATATAGACAGACATAAACACAGTGACAAGTTGGCCAGCTATTTATATAAAGCAATTAATATAGAAATATCAATGGCACATGTATCAATTTTTCTTTTTTAAAATCACCCAGTTAAGCCTATAGTGTTTAGTAAATTAGTTCTATGTTACTTTACAGCTTCAACATTCCACGGAATGTAGCACTATATCCACAAAAGATCACCCAGTTCATCATCAACGCCATGTAAAAACTAAGACTTGCAGGTCTCCTGGTGGGTCAGCCCAGGCACTCAAAGGCACCACGACTTTGGTGGTAGATGGGCCAGAGTTAGGTGTCACCACCTACACAGACTCAAACTTTACAGTAACTGTTATCAGTGCAGACAACACACCATATCTACTTTTGGAAAAAAAAAAAAAAGAAAAAGAAAAAAGAAAGAAGTGGAAAAAAATGGCTTGTGTCAAGAGTGACTTGTTATTTTACACCTGACACACGTACATGCAGTGCTGTGCTGCTACTTGACCATCAGCATGCATAATCGCAGGTTTGTAGCATAATGCAAACCTGCTGCTATCTCAATGCCATCATTTCACTGAAAAAGAAAAAAAAAAAACAGCAGCTTTTACTCTTTAAAAAGTGATACTCAAGTTGCTGCCATGTGATAGTATAAATTACTGGATTATTTGCCAGTGCTAAATAGGGATCTTAGAATATTCTTTAATAGTACAAACTTAGTCATAGTCAATAGCGTAGATGCAGTTAACATGCAGGCATTACAAATAGTGTTGTGCAGCACAAGACAATCACTGTGAATTTTCCCCAAAAAATATTTTGGCACATGAACTTTCACCCTCTAGAGGTTCATAGTCTTGCAAAAATATCTCTACAAATTAAGTGCCGATTGCTGTTTATGCTTATTTCAGCTCTCTTCCTTCTGAATGCAACAAGTGCAGCTGAAGTAGATCATATATGCACGTTTAACAGTTGGGCTGATGCTATTGCATGATTTTCTAAATGTAACAACTGGAGTAAAACAGTGACACCCAGTGTTAGTTTTCTGCAATGTTATCGATTTCCCCACAATTCATGATCAATCTTTGGTCAACCCTGTAGTTCTCACTGGTACAGCATGTACAGTGTGTGTGCGCAGAAGAATATTCTGGTGTAAGAAATATATAAAACACTCAAAAGAGCAAAAACCTGACTCTGACCAACTGGATTGTGTGATAAAAATCACAAGCTTTTAGCTAGCAGCCAGGTGATCTGGCTTTCAGTTGTGACTCGAGCCCAGTCCATAGAAACGATACAGGATAGTTACAAACCCAACCCTGAAACTCAAAATGTGTTGTGTGCGCATTTGTTTGATTTCACTTCTTTTTTAAATGTGCTGTGCATAATATTGGTGTCAGTTAGCCGTGGTCTCAGTACCACTGTGCTGGAGGGTTTAGCTCTGAGAGAAGTACTCAAGGACAAGGCGGAGGTGTCCCAGGCGATCTTTGAGAGAGTTCAGGGACAGGACGGTGGTCTGATAGGCGGGGTCCAGCTGGAGGACAGACAGCAGCCACCAGCACCATCCTGGACCATTAGGCGAAGCCTAAAAGAGAAAGTTTAGCCTCTGTAATCATGAAAATACATTAAGTGCCAAACCAGTCCAATAACCCTGTGATGGTAATGAAAACTTAAATTCTCTCAACCAACCGACAATCGTCAATCCAATAATTGACGATGGGCGATACATTCGCGCCTGTGCAGACTTTTTGACAGGCGCAGCAATGTAATCGGGCACAGACGGATTTGCGCGTCTACAACTCAGAAGTCCAAACATGAACGAACTAATTTCCCCAAAAAAGTAGGGCTGTCGGCGTTAATGCGGTCATCACAATTAACTCATTTGGAGCGCAGAATGAACAAACTTTGGACAAACTGCCCGAAATCCAGACATTTCAGGGATTTTGAGTCAGTCTGTGCTCCAGATGGGTTAATTGTTAATCATGTTAGTCGTGATGACGGCGCGTTAACGCTGACAGCCCATTTGGGACGAAAAAGGGTAAACCTAAGGATGTAACCAAAGCGGTGTGTGACTTGTGCAGACGTATAGTACGAGCAAAGTACTCAAACACGACTTGTACGTGTCCGCCATCCGGCTGAGTATGCTAGGCTAGGCTATCACCAGCTTCTGCAGCTCCATCAACAAGCATTTGGGCGCACTCTGAGGAGGGTGCATTTGCTCGCAGATGAAACAAGGTGCTGTTAAAACAACGCTATTACTTTTTTTTCTGTTGACTTTTCTATTAGCTGCATCATTATTAGCAAACGTACCCACTGGCAAATAAATGAATAAATCGCCCTTGTAAAAACGATCGATATATTCGTCCAATCGCCCAAACCTAAGTGTAACTGAATAATACTCTGGATAATTCTCTGTTCCACTACCACAAAATCATTTAAAGAGACTGAAAGATAAAAGAAAAGCCATTCTTTAAAGAAACACTACTCAAAACCTACATCTGAATATAAAATTTGGACGTAGCTGCAATTACATAATCTCACTGGTCAATGACGTGCTGAGGCAAAACCTCAGTGTTTTTGCTATTGCTATTATAACTTAAACATTACTATTACATACTAATACGGTGCATGAAAACATCGATCAGAATACTTAAGAAAAAAAATTAATCTTTTAGATTTTTTTTGCACTCATGATAACACTGGTCACTATTTGACATTTAAAAGGGTAAAAGCAGTGGCTACTGAGCAGAGTGAGGGAAATGAGTTTTACAAAGGTTAACAGAGCAAACATCACACTTAAAGCACAAACCTGAATGTTGTCCTCCTTATCCGGCATGGCACCATACTGTCTGTTGATCTGTTCGCGGATGCGGCTGCCGAGTCGCTGGTACCAGTCCTGGGCCTGCTGGTACACGCTGTCGTGCAGACGCTGCAGAAGCTCCAACTCACTGCCATCAACCTAAGAGGACGCAACGATATTAACAATCACAAAGAGAGAGACAGAGAGAGAAATGCTGCTGTTTGTAATCTCAGAAACCCTCACCTTGATGTCCTCTAGGTACTCTATATCAGCGGTGTGGTAACCATCCCTTTGGCCTCTTTTCAGTACCTTGAATCTGCTCCCACCAATTGTTTCCACATAAGAACGTCCATCAGGCAAGCGCTCCAGATCGAGAATCTCCAGCATACAGCCATAGTCTGCGAATCTGACGCACAAGAGATAAAAAGCAGTCTTTAGGTTTGACATATTAAAATACATCTTAATGCAATAATTAGAAAATTATGCAGGAAGAATATGAGGGGGTTGGAGTAAAGCTTATTTTGAGATAGTAATGTATATAAACTAGTTTTGTTCTGTGCGTTTTCAAGGCATTATTAGCTTGAAGGAACACAAGAACGTAACTGGAAACCATGTCAACCTGTGACACAAAGATGAGGATAACTTAAAAATGATTAAGGTCGTCAAAGTCCCACCATGACTGCTGTCTCCCTACAAGAACATGGTATACCCAGCACAGACTGTATATATACACACATATCAGATGGATGAGATTAGTTAGATTAGATTAGTTTCTGGACCACATTTTAAAGCCTCAACATTAGTGTCTATGGTCTCTGGATACTGACTTGCTTTTTGGGGCCAAGAGTCCAGTGGCCACTCAAGGAACTACAGATTTTTTTTTCCAGTCTGTGCTGGCTTTATTTTTCAGCCCTGGAGGTTGTAGTGTGATCTTTAAAGGCACGCTATTCAGAAGCAGATGAAAATGCACAGCAGATCTCATGGCAAACCTGTGACCATGTTGTTATTTTCCCATCCCCTCAGGGTCACAGATCAGTGATTTAAACTTTGCCCCTGCGCTGTCTACTTGCGGTGCCCTGCTGACATTCCCATCAGGTTCCACCTAGCCTGTTGTGAGCTTCACAGTCGGGAAAATGTCAAACCCAAAATCTCTCTACACACACAGACAGCCTAGAGAAAATTATTTAAAATTTCTATACACATGCAATCATATAGGCCACTGTTCTCATCCCAACATCATCATCATAATTTGATGTACAGTATGCTACGTGTGGAAATAGGTAGAAGATTCTGTTGCATACCCTCTGCCATGCTCGTAGCTGCACATGCCAAACTTCTTGGTGCCGGTTTCCATGCAGCGGCGCATCATCAGCCGATAGCGAGGCTCAAACACATGCAGTGGACAGGGCACTCCAGGGTAGGCCACGGTGCAGACAAATATAGGGATGTCCTTAGTGAGACTAGAAGAAAGAGAAAAGACCACAACTGTAAGGACAATGGGCTATTTTGTGACAAAACAATCTATTAAAGTCGCGACAATAATTAGGTGTAGACTGTGTCGGTGAAGCGCCTACTTTGACAGTTCAGCCATCTCAGCATCGTGGACCTGTTTCCTCTCAGCCAACTGGGGGGCAAAAAGTCGGGTCATGATGTCCTGGAGCAGAACTGTGGGGTTGTACTTCCTGTTTCTGAAGTACTGGAAATGAGAAGAAAGAAAAGATACTACAGTACTGCAAAAAATAAACAAAAAAAACCCCCCTGCAACCATTTAAAAAATTATACTTTGCACTGTTGTGCTCCATCATTAATGTGAGTGTCAGGGTGCTCATAGATATATATTTGTCTGTGACTGATTTGTCTGTGTTTGATTAAGGATACTCCAGTGGCAGTAGTCCAGCAATGGAAGCATGAAAATGCAGTGGTGCAAGTATGCATATAATATGCATATAATATGCATATAATATGCATATACACAAATTAGCAGCACAAGTAATTTCTACTGAAGCCACCCTTAAAATATTGATTTTTTTTTTTAAATATAGTACATTTTTAAAGTCTTGTCTCAGCTGTATATACAGCTACTGTCGAAAAATATAACTGTGCTGATATAACTGTGTGATTACTTCATTTTGGCTATTTTACATGTCCTATAGGTATCATCCCATTTACTAAAATCAACTTGAATCTGTGCTGAATGTCTTCAGTTTCAGTGTTATTCCTCCGTAGTCCCGCATATAGCGACTGATATGAGTGTTGTTCAAAAATTCCCTGAAGTTTTTCATCTTGGGCTAACAGACCAGCTGCGCCATATCCTCTAAGTGTCTTTTTCTTATGGTCTGTTAGTATTTTTTATGCTAAAACTTTCCTTTTTTTCTTCAGCCACAGTTAGCTTTATTAGGTTAAAATATATTCAGCAAAGCTGCTATTTATTTCAGCCCACTTTTAAAGCATGATCACCCCTGTGGAAAAACTTTGGAAAGTGTGCCTTTTCTTCCTTCCTCTTCAGATACTATTGTTTCAGTGTCTTCAGCCAGACCTTCTCTTTCCTTTGTTTGAATGGTACAGATTTAAATGTGTTTCCTTATAAACAGTGAAATGGGGATAAAAGAGTGTGATAGCATGTTGTATGTTGCAGATTGCAGGTAGCAAGCCAGAGCCCACTGGTTTAAAATGATTCAGATTGACTGACACACACACAGTATTAAGAATTAAATTGGCCAACATAAATCCAACATTGATTTTGAGTGTGCTTAGTAACATTTCTATTAGAAAATGAGGCCCAGTATCTTTGCACACATTGTCACAAAAGTAGAGCATTGAAAAGATTCATGTCAGAGTGCCTGAGCTAAATCTGGCGCCTGAAGACCGCAATGTGGTAGCATTAACAAAGCTTTTATAATAAAAAAAGTACTTTTTTATTTAAAGTGGAGCTGTTTGGCCTTCTTCCCATTGGGTTTAAATGCACTCAGTCTAGTTACCTCTTGCAGCGGCTGTTTGCAGAGTGGACAGCGGAGGTTGTGGTCTAGGCTCCTCTCGATGCAGTTTTTGCAGAATGTGTGCCCACAAGGAGTTGTGACTGGCTCAAAAAATAACCTTTAGAGGACAGACATAACACATTAGGCTGTTTATGCTATGTATGATTTAGCTGTTAAATCTGGTGAGTGCTGGCATGTGTGCTAAACACTAACCAGACAAAGCAAGGAAAGCGAGACCAGCCAGATATATGACCCCGTTACAAACAGCGGTGCATTATTGATTGCAGCGAGCAGTCCAACACACTCACCTAATGCAGAGAGGGCACTCAAAGTCTGACACGGTGAGAATAACCATGCCGTTCTCTCTCTCGTGATAACTTTCACCTAAGACTGAAAGAGAAAAGACACAAAAAAAGATTCCCTTGAAACGTTTGCAGTGAGTTTGACCTTTCGGAAAACAAGTCCTGATCATCGTGTAGTTTCAAACCATCTGCTGGGCGGCGGGGGTGGAGAAAGCTGTTTGCAGTTGCAAAAGACAAAAATGACTCCTACTGGGCACGCCGATGTTAAAGATGAGAGTCAAATCATAATGAATGCGAGCACCGATATATTGACTTACACTTGCCGTGCAAGTCTTCTTTCCTCGTCATCATCTCTTCATCCTCGTCAGCAGCGGGGAGGAAGGAAACCGCTTGGCAGAGGCTGAGGCAGCATTCAGTACCCGTGTCATGCTTCACCTTGGAGAAAGCAGATATTAGGTTTTATCAGTTAGGATTTATTTTTAAGTGCATAAGCTTCCCCACACTCACCTCATGGGAGGACCTTAAAACAGAGGAAATTCCAGGACTACGGTCATCTATTTGCAAATTCTGACACTCCTCATGTTTTTGTTTTTTTTCCCTGTTTTTCTTAATCTTTAAAACGCATTTTCTAACTACATATGAAATGTTTACCTGATGTGTATCTCTCCTCCCTTTTCCTTCTCCCTTATCTCCATGAGGATGTTTGAAGCCTTCAGCATGAACCGGCCCCTGCGAGCTGCCGAGGGTTGTGATGGGACAGGGCTCTTTTAGGTACTCGGACACTGCCTGCAAAATGCAGGGCATCTCCTCTGGCACTTCCACTCCCTCTGCCTCCAGGATCTGCCATTGTAAGAATAAAATCAATATAAAAAGAAAATGTGCCATGATACCTCACTGTCATCACAGTGAAGTTAGGTTTTACTGCAAGAAGACTGAACTAAGTGAAGAAATGCAAATAAAGCTAAAATGGGGGTGTGAACATTAATTTTAAGTATTAATTTTAATATTTTATGGTAGGTACACTAGAATAAAGGGGTAAAAAGGCTTTTTTTCAAAGAAATAATAACTCTTTAAGTAAATTTAAGTACTTCACCTGCACCATAATACAGCCTGTACAAGTGCCATATTCCTTACATTTCACAAAGTTTCTATGAAATGATGCCCAGCTTAACATGTATTTACAATATAATTATTTCTTTGTTTCCTGTAAAAAAAAAAAAAATGACTACAAATTTATTCTATCGTGCATAAATATAGCTGTATAGCTGTATATCTCAGATTCTGTAAAGTTATTTATTTCATATTCTGTATAGTTTTTCATATTTATATCCTGTTCATATCCTGTACATAGCTTGTACTCACTTCATACCGTGTACATTATAACATACCATAATAGACCCATTTCTGTAATATACTCACATATCTATATTATTGCTAATATATATTGTAATATATCTATATCACTAAAGCACTTCTGGATGGATGCAAACTGCATTTCGTTGCCCTGTACCTGTGCATGTGCAATGACAATAAAGTTGAATTCTATTCTATTCTATTCTATTCTATAACTTTAAGTATTTGTAGGTAAATACAACCATATTGTAATTTCAAATAAAAAATATTAAAGTTCCATTTAATTACAAGGGAATTATGCCTGTAATCATGGGTTATATTATACAGTGATATCATGTATATTTACATTTATCTATTCATTCATTCTTCAGTTGTTTGATTTAAACACACACAGAGAGAG